CTTTCTAAGTTGGTCTACAAAATTTTTGCTGAACCTGATTTACTATGGGCACGTGTCCTTAAAGGTAAATACCACATACAAGAACACAACAACTCGGAATATCACAAGGAGTTGCTGTTCTTATTTTTGGAGAAACATCTCAAAAATATGGCAAGACACTGTTATGCACCTCAAATGGAATCCTGGAGATGGAAGTAGCATCAAATTTTGGTCTGACTTTTGGGTAGGAGACAATGGACCCCTATATCCCTTATCTTTTGCTGAAATTAACAAGTTTGACCTACTCAAACCATTTTTGATTTCGTTGACAATTTGGACAATGGAAGTGGAGTTTATTCGATCATCTACTACCTCGCAGCCCACATAGCCCAGATTGCCAGAATCTCCATCAACATAATTGAATCGGAAACCATCTTGCCATTGGAACCTTAGTGGAAATGGTGTTTTTACTGTTAAATCATCATATATTAGCCGTCAATGTACTGATGAATCCGGCTGATAAAATCTGGTCTAAAGATTAGAAATTACGTATGGCTCAACGAATCCATACTTTTGTGTGGTTAATGACCAAAGGTAAACTTCTTACCAACTGTGAAAGATATGAGAGACATATGATAGATGATCCTACTTGCTTTCTTTGCCACCCTCATACTAAAACTATTGATCATGCACTGAGACATTGTCCCTTTACTGCCACTGTTTGGAAGAAGGTCTTGCCATCTGATTTACTACTTGATTTTTATGGAAGTGAGATGATTCCATGGCTCATTGGTCAATTACTTAATCCCCGACTAGACATTTCTTGAAAGATTGGTCTTAGTATCACTTGTTGGAAACTCTAGGACATTAGAAGCCGAAGTCTCTTCACAGAAGAAATTTTTGCTATGGATAGCATTCTTTTCTCATTTAAAGCTGTTGTTAATCATACTTATAGATGCTTTTTCTTCCCTTAGATCACTGATGTAATATTTTCTCGCTTTAACTGTTTGTACAGCTCTGTTTCAGGTTAATGATAATTCCCTTTTCACTCAAAAAAAAAAAAGGAACATTATGCTCTGTTAAATTAAAAGAAAAAAACATAAGTAATTTTTTTATTAATTTATTTTAAAAAATTATTTTTATTTATAATAATTAGGGATAAAATTAAAATGTTACCATATACTTTAACTAGAAATTATTTTTTTAATTTACATGATTTGATTAAAAATGTCTTATACATGAGGACAAGAGGGTATGTTTTTGATAAAATCTTTTAAAAAATTAATTAAAATAATATGAGTGGTAAAAGCTCTTATAATTTAAACAAGTGATTAAAAGTTTGAAACCTCATTTTTATACATGTAGTAATTTATCTCAATATTTGAAAAGATATTCTCAACTGTATTTTGTTATCAACGATAACCCTTCAGCACGCACGTTACTTGAAATAAAACAATCAATCTATTTCTAAACAATTTATTTTAGGATAATTGGATCATTGGCTAAAAAATTTTTATACCAAGAAAATATGGACTAAATTTTTGAAATTTTGAGAGTATGATCAATTTTATATGATATACAAAATATTTATTATTGATATACTAGGAGTTATAATTGAAAATTTAAAAATTTACAAAGAGTTTTATCATTGATATATAATGATGTATCATTAATAAATATAATAAACCTATCATAATATAAAATATAATAAATATTAAGTTGTCTGTTTAATTAATTTTATAAAATAGATTATATATACAGAAGTCCTTTTATTTTATAAAACGTTGGGGTTGAAAAGATTAAATCAACAACGCTTTCTTATCGATATTTATACAAAACATACTTTACTCCATCCTGCTGTTCTCTATTCATACATTGGTTTTTTTGGCTGCAAACAAAGCTGGCATTGATAATAAGAACCGAAAATAACGGAAATACATAATTACATCTAAACGATATAAAGAGAGTAAACTTATAATTAAACCAAGGCATCCCTTTTGTATTCTTCATTGAGACTTGAAAGTTTTTTATTTTAAAAATAAAAAATTATATTAAAGTTCACAGAAAAAAATTAATTATTACAAGATCTATTAACAATTGAATTAAACCTAATTTAATGGTAATAGATATTATAATAATTAATTTTTTTATGAAATCTAGGTGTAATTCTTCCAAAAGAAAGCTGTTGTCGAAATGACAAAGATAGAAAAATGTGAAAAAGAAAAAGAATAACTAAAAAAAATTAAATGCGGCGAAAAGCATATATGAGAATTTTTTTTTAAATAACAAGGAGGTAAGCTAAATAAATAATATATATTCATTAGATGATTAGTCTTATTTATATAACTAGTACAAATAATTCTGGTCCAAGAGAATCCTATAGTTAGGAAGTGATTTTATCATAACGATCATCGTGTGTGTTAGAAGAGGTCTTACATTGTTCAAACTTGATAAAATCTTGACATATATATACTAATATGAGAATTTGAACAAGTAATGAATTGAGAAGAGAAGAGAAGTGAGTGAGTAAATGCTCAAAATTTAATCACCATTGATTATACTTTTAATTACAATGTGCAGAAACAGTTTTCTTTAATTATCCTTAAGCCATACTTAATTTTTAAACCACTAAATTAATTGTCCTTAACCTGCTTGTGAATTTTCGACTTATATAAGCTTTTGCCCGTTGTTTGTTTAACACACTGCTCTTAAGTTTTGAAGCTCATTTCTTCTTCCTCTTGAGTTATTTTATATTTCTGTTTTGTGTCCTTGCTTTCTATTGGAAGAGTTCTTTAAATGTAATGTGTGAAAATCATCAAAGAAAGATATTTCTATTGGTTTGAAATTTCATAGAATGATTTGATTATATTAAATTTAAAACCTTGTGACATATTATTTGTTATTGTCAAAACTAATAACCAAATATTGGCTAACAGTCAAAGATTGGATTCTTAACACATTGGAATTAGTAAATTAAACAATGAGACTCATGTAGATCAAATTAATTTTCTCATTTACCTTGAGATACACTGAAGGTGATTATATCACAAAATCTTCAAGGGCAAAGGTGTGTCAATAAAAGTTTGCAAAGAATATATTAAAACGGGAATTGTTAAGAAAGCATCCTTAGTTACAAATTTGAAGATATAATATATATATATATATATATATTATATGAATTAATAGACATCCATTTTCTGACACACTATGTTACTGATTTTAAGACAATATCTTAATGTACTAAAATGAGCATCTAAGAATTACAAGTGGTGAATTTTTCAATGCAGAGAGAGATGTCAAGGTAAATTAAAAGTGTGCTAATTAAGACACAAATCTCAATAAACTGAACTATGCATGTAATCTGGATATCATACTTTTGTTGTCCTTATTGTTGCTGAAGTAAAATAGCAATTGATGAGGATATTCAATTCAACCACATGACAATTGAGAAAGCCGAATAAGAAAAACATCATAAATAATCAAATTTTTTGCCCAACACAAAAAATGAACATCAATGGAGCTAAAGTGGAAGTTTTATACATACATATATACATAATTATCATCTTTATGTATATGTTCATTGATCAATTGTTTTGATTAATATTAGAGTTAAGTGTCAATTTTGCCTATAAACTGGTCATGAAAGTTTACAAATGATTCTAAATTTAATTATGAGTCATTTATATCCTTTAATCACCCATATTTTTAATCAATCATCCTGTCATTTGTACTATCAAAATTTTCTATTAGCTGGGTCCAAATTTAATTTTTTAATATTTATTTATTATAAAAGATTCATATCTATTCAAGTAATTGTCAATATAAAAATGAGATATGAATATTTATGCACATGTACAAAGCTTGATGATGTGAGGTATGATCATTTTCAAATCAAATTTGTTTAAACCAACTTTTTGTAAAATTATCAAAATCTTGAATGGAACTAGGTTGATCGAGAATCATGTGAAAGACATATGAAGAGAATTGAGAATAGTAAATTCTAATGATTTCAAACTATAATTATATTTAGGTTAAGTTTTGATGATGATGAATATAGATTAATTAAATATATAAATGCATGATATAATAATGTTTATATTTATTCTCATGCATATTAATACTTGGACTAACCACTATGTTCATGATATATTATTAAAGGTTATTCAATGTGAATGAGCATGAAGAGGAAGCCATTGTTATTAGCATGCTTCACTCAATAATAAAGATGAAGAGAAAGGTAATCTAAGAAATGCTTAAGTGAATAAAGACATATAAGCTTGAATCCATCATTGCCTTGATCTTGATGGGTATAATGTCTTTAAGCTTTCTAACCTATATGTTAAACTCATTGTTTTTATATGCATTTATTTTAAATTTTAACTAGCATTTTTGTTTTAAAATAAATAGTGATATATAACCTTAATCTTGTTTTTAATCAATTATATCTCACAAGATTTGAAAAAGTTTCCTCTTAAATATTGTCTGAAAACTAACTTCATAAAGTTTCTTAAAAGTTATATTTACTCAAAGTGGAATTATGTTATCAATGTTTGAAGTTTATGATTTGAGTTAAGAGTTTTAGAGATATATGGTTTTGACCTTTATTTAGTATTTTCTATATATCTCTTAATATAAAATTCATTAATATGAAACTTCTTTCATTTAAAAATAGACTTGTAAATCTTCCCAAATACATTTATTTCATTCAGAATGAGTTTAATATGAAATTGTTATGATTTTTCAAAGTTGGTTGTATCCAAATCCTTTATAAAATGTCCTTGACCTTTCCTCACTTTTTTTAATCATATCTCTCAAAATATTTTGAATTTTTGAGTAGGTATTTAGTTGGAAACTAGACATTTAGAGCTTTCTAACCATATATCATTTTCTTAATTTGGATTTAAAAATGAAAGAGT